AATACAATACACTTACAAATTATGTCAAAACCTTCCTCACTTTCTTTCATTTTTTCCTTAAACAACATACTATTTAATGCACAATTTTACAAACGGCACGTGCGTCGCACGTGTGTCAAACTAGTAATTAAAAAAGACTCATTTATCCATTCAAATTTATTCTTGTACAACCAAGTGACCGGTTTCCAAATGCTACATTATTTAGTGACTGTGATTGAAATTTTCAAATAGTCTTCTAAAGTCGAAAATAATTTTAAAAAAATAAAGCACAGATTATGTCTGTAAACAAGAAAAATGTACCATCCCAAAGCAGTATATATTGTCGATCATTACTATTTGTACATTATGGGTAGAACGAATTATGCTATAGGGCCCGGCTCAATGACCGGGCCCAAATACAAGGCGCCGAGGTGGCGCCCTCACATTGGAGAGAGTCAGCTCGAGGTGGTGCCCTGTCAAATGTCCCGATCATTGGCATAATTCTGGGTAGAACTATCCTTCTAATAAACTTTTTAAGAGTCAACAGGGTGTCAAAAATGCTAATTTCAAGGCACCATCGTCAAAAGATTTAGAAGTTCAGGATCCAGTTAGAATTTTCCCTTCAATTTATTACTTTATTTTTATATACATTAGTAATTTAAATAAATCTAAAGACGATTGAATGAATTTTAAGTAATCGTTAAAAAAATCAGTTTAGCATTTATATCGACAGAGCTTATCATGAGAACTACACTAAGGGCCTGTTTGATAGGCCTTTATTTTCCATGGAAGTTGGAATTGAAATTCCATTTTTTACTTTTATCATTTTTTATGTCACTTTTTTTTCCCTGAAATTGGTTTTCCACTTTTGCTCGTTTTCTTGGTTTTAGTTGAATTGAAATTCCCACATTTTAGGTGGGAATTGAAATTCCATCTTTTTTTATATTTTTTTTGTTTGCTTTTTTTTTTTATTTGGCAATAGAAACAAATTCTATCCACAACTGTAATAAAAAAAAAATCCATTTGATTGACAATTTCCATGTAAAACAAAGCCAAACGAAGGCCAAAAATTTTCCATTTTTTTTTTTTTTTTTT